CTGGAAAATACGCCACCACGGTACGGGATGTAAATTCGTAAGAATTTTACGAGTGGTGTATTTTCCAGTAAAGCACTCGCGTCTATATTATAAATAGGTGGACTGAATTAGACCCTGAACTTCATTTCACAAGCCTTAAAATCGTATCTAGCACGATGCCTTATTTTCTTAATGTTGTATGCTAATGAGGCAAAAGTTATACATTGACGTTAGTAAACACTTCTCCCTTGTGAGTGCAGTTAATTTCACATGTGACGATATATCAGATTTAAAATGGGTAAAAACAAAACGTACTGATTTTTCTTTTGGTAGCTGAAAAAGAGTTTCACGGTTTAAGAATGCAATTTGCAGAAATTAAAAAGATAGCATTCTTCCTCAGAAGCTCCTTACAAATTCCACCTTTTCTTGAAAGTGAATAGCTTAAGAGATTTTCCTTTTTCCAATGTTTTAACCTGCTCGAGATCCTATTGTTGATACGCCTTTAACTCAGTAGGTGGCCGCTTTCTTTAGTTAATTTTAATAATTTCCATGGCTTTCAAAATACAACCAAAATTCTCGTAGAGAAAAAAGACATTACGAGTAGTTTAGGTTAAAACGAAGCTCTAACTTTCTAGAAGAATGCAATTAGTTATATCTCTCGAATTTATTAAACTGACTATTATGTTTTTCCCCTAAACTGCAAACAATTGTAATTGAAGAGCTTAATTAAGCAGTGACGACGGCGCCTATTAAAAAAATGAATTTATATTTTATCTTCGAGTTTCGCAATTGTCTAGATCTGTGCAGTGCGCCTATTGGTCTCAGAACTTGCTCAAGCTAAAACTGTAACGCTAGCGATCAATTCCAAATGAAAATACGTTTGGATCCGGAGAATTTTGTCACGTAAACGGTTTCTTCTCAAATCCGGATCTTTTTCCTCCTGCAATCTTTTGAGTTTGTGGTAGAACCAAAGCGGCGGATCTAGTAAATGCAGTCACATTGATGGCCATTTCCTAGATCTGCCATTTTGGTTATAATGGGTAATGCTATGTTCCTCAGGAACCAAAATTATCGACGCAAACAATGTTGACGTCCTCCACACTGCATCGGAGACGACGACGATGGATGGCACGATGAAAAACCTCGACTGTTCAGGATGTGACCAGAACAAATGCCAGGTGGGACAACATAATGGGCAATAATAGCGTGGTCAGCAAGTGGAAAGAAAACTTCAGACTGTCTCAATGACCCCTGGCCTTCTTTTTGGTGGCATTTTGTTTCTCGTTGTCGAGGCAACAAACAGCTTGTTGACCATTTCATCATAAATGTTCCCTGAGTTGTCGTCGTGTGTAAACGGTTACTGTAGGAATCCGAGTACCCTTTCAGCGTAAATGATTATGAATCCAAATACTCTAAAATTGATGAATCCGGAAACATTTACGAAGCCGGAAAAATCTGCTTAAGTGTAAACTTAGTCTTAAATCTTTTGTTTGGTTGCGTTCTCGCTGCCGTTACTGTCGTGGCTTGCGTAAACGTTCTAATAACTGAAAAAGACGGTACCCGGGAAGCGCACTGCTTCAGTAATGGTAGATTGCGAGTGGATTGCTTGCTTAATATGGATGGCAATCAGAAACTCCCATGTTAACTTAATAATTTGTTAATTTGTACATTTTCCTGGAAAATAATAAATATGATAACTTACTTCCCAAGGGCGAAATATAGTTGAATTTTTTCAATGCTTAGAAGTCTTAACATGTGACTGTAGATGAAGCAAGCACTAGATCAAAGGTTAGCTGAGATAATCAATTCTCATCTCTGTAATGTCTGTTATTTAGGTCCTACAATTTATCCATAAAATGCCCATACAACTCTTCTATTTTTGCCAATGAATATTTTGTAATAAGCAAAGGGAACGACCTCCTAAACTCAGATCTTTTGACCAATCCTCCTATTCCCAATTAACCGTCAATGACCTTACGTTTGACATAGTAATGTCATGTTCAACAAGTTCCTTAGAAATCCCCCTCCCCATCCTTGAAAAAATTTCCTAGTCAATTGTTCCAAATTGAACAAAGCATAACCTGCTCCCATTGAAGCATTTAAAACTGCAATTAAAATCCCATTAAAAACTGCAATTTCCGCCGTTCCAGCTGAGATTCAACCTTATAATTCTCTTGGTGGAGTGCTGGGTTATTTTCAAGTAGTGAAGACTAAAGTCGCTGATTTTCTAGACAAAATACAATCAGCTATTGCTGGGATATTTTAAACTCTTACAAAATAAAAATTTCTAAATAAACCAGAAACTGTTTTCAGTGAAATCTGATTCTGATACCGTTAAGCTTTATGGCGGGTTGTTTTGCCCTTCTTTCTTATGGAGCTGTTTGACAAGAGAACCGATTACTAAAAGGAATGAGGTGGAAATTAAGCTTTCTCAGAAGTTCTGCACTGAGAAATATTAATTAAAATTTTCCTTTTTTTCTTTTTCTTTTGAAATCGAATACCTTAAAAGGTTTCTTTTCGTCCGATGTCTAAAGTCCAATATCGTAAAACCAGCTGTCCAAGTTTGGTACCATGGGCTCTCTAAGGCTGACGGGAAAACCGGTTAGAAAAAATAAAATAAAAAAATCTGATTGAAAAACCCAGTAAAAGCTCTAAATCTGAAGGGAAAGAGATAGAAAATTAAACTTCATCAGAAGCTCTTCACTGAGAAATTAATTGTCACTTTCTTTTTCTTTTTTAATCAGTGAGATCAGTAAGATATTCGATTTCAAAAAAAGAACAAAAAAATAATAATAATAACAATAATAATAATAGTAATAATAATAATAATAATACTTTTGAAAAGATTACCTTGTCCGATAAAGTAAAACCTTCCCAAGTTTGTCGCTTCCATGTCGTGATCATGGGCTCTCTGTGTAATTTTTCTTTACTCCTTATGCCGTTACCAAATTGCCGAAAACATTATAAAAACCCTCCAAGCTTAGACAAATGTTTAGGATGAACGAAATGAAAGAATTTGTTTACTCCACTGAACAAGGTATATGCCCGAAATGTTTGTGAATTTTTACAAGATGACACTTTGACATTTTTTCTGCCTTATCAAATTTTATTTCCTTTAATTTGAATGTTTATTTATCTCCACTTTTAGGAAGTTTGACTATTCCAGGACCTTCACACACGCTTATCGTTCCTAATTTAGTGAATTAACTTAAAAGGAAATATTTTGAATTTCTGAAGCATGAAGGGGTTAAAAGAGATTAAAAATGAACAAGGCATTGTGAAGAGATCATTTATATGCTCTGTGATTGGACATTGTAAAGAGATCCTTTATATGCTCTGTAATTGGACCATCTTTTCATTTCAAAAAGTGCATTTAAGACAAAGTAAATCAGGTTGCCCATCTGTCTTCTGGACAGTGTTTTCCAGTCGTCGTTGACCCTAATTAAATCCCACGCAGTACAAACTGAAGATGGAGATGTTCGTGATGCAGACTTTTCTACCTCTTCCACAGTTGTTACAAAGAGACTTCCCATCGAAAACAAAGGTAAGAAACACGTCTCTTTCTTGTATTCTACCTGAACCCCTAGCGATCTTCTTTGAATTTTTTTTTCGCTATATTTTGTTCAAACATGTACTTGTTTCCAGAGCTTTGTCCGCATTTCGTTTCGCTTCTTGGAATAAAAGAAAAAAATGAAATTGTTTAACTGATACAGAAGTTGAATTTTGACCGATTTACAGTGATGGAAGTTATAACCGGGAAGAATGCCAAATAAGTTTTTGTCCCGCATTCGATTCTTATTCGGTCATGTGAAGCGAAACCTGATTGAGAAAATTAAAAGAAGCAACAAACACTGTCACATGCCGTTAATATTTGCTAACCTCTGCCTTTCCTCCATTAAAGTAGTTTAAATTGGTCGTCCTTCCTTTAATTAGAAATGCCCTCTCAGCTCGGAAACAGTGTATACTTGCTTGCTCGAGAAGTTGGTGTAAAGGCCTACTTGAATATATTATTGCGGATAGATCACCCTCCAGTTTGATAAAACAATTCAACCCTGGCGAGGATGGAACTTTCAAACTTCAAACAAAACTGTCTTCATAAGAACACAGTTAAGAGTCCTATTAATATTTAATTTCCACCATCAACAATTCCGTTTCGAAGTTATAGCCAACTAAAATTGGATTAGTGAAACTAATGTCCAGAAATTTGCAGAACACCCTAGTGCGAAACTCGAGTAAAGATCGCCAAAAGGAAACGATAGTAGAGAAATGTCTCGTAAATTCCTGAGGTTCCACTTTGCTTTGAAATGTAATTTCTTAAAAGGTTTCTCTGTCCTTGTTGTGAAATTCAAGAAAGTTTTACCTGTTCCAGTCACATTAAAAATATATGTATATTAACTGTCCGAACAATGACGTATGAACTAGCCCTGAAACTTTGGTCCATTTCGTCAGAGGAATATATATCGTCGGACAGCCGATGAAATTGACGGAATTCCTGGAAGAATTTCTTAGCATAAACAAATTTTTGCAACGCAAAACTGCCCCTTTCTGTGTTATTAAAATAACACTGAGAGGTCCCAGACCTTTAATTCTGTGTTGGCGCAGGTTATTGAGTATCTTGTTTTCAAATTTGAGTTGAAAGCGTTCGTTGCAAATATTTTGCCCTAGCCAGGCCTCCTACTACTTAATGTTGTTCTGATGACCTTCGCCGTTGTGGCTTAAAGAATGGTAAGAAAAACGTTACTCCGCCAATTTTTTGTTCTACTGCATTTTGAAGTCGTTATCTTTAGTCTGCTACTGAACAGATGCACTGCAACAAAGAATCTAATATTTAAAGGTTTCAAATAAAATTGCAGTTTTTTTTTTTTCGCCATCAACACCTTTTTATGCCCAAACGTCCTCTCAAATTAAAGAACAGGCTGTGATTCATTGAAGATATATTCAACCAAAAATGTTTATACTACATAGCATATAATACCTTCTGTCTTTATATCTTTATACACTATATAGTTTTGTTTTTTTTTCGACCAGAAAACAACGATCGCACACCCAACACCAAGAACAGCGCTGATGCAGACTACAACCAAGAAGCTCCAGGAATCCGACGAGTGCTTCCTGCCAACATTTTTCTTAATCCTAACCAGGCATGCTACACACAGTTTTTTGCAAACGGACGGCCACCAATTGGTTTACGTACTGCCAACTTAGCGAATATGAGGTACATCTGTCAACAGGTGCCCGCGCATCCGGGAACGTACTTCTACGCGACGATGTTCGATGAAGGTCGGGGAATTGCAGTTTATTCAGCGTACGTTTTGAATGCGAACAACATCAATTTTCAAGGACAAGGAGGGTTTGGATGGATCCAAACCAACGGTAACTTATTTACATGTACACTGAAACTAAGAAAGAATGAAAAGTGAGAGACCCGTTTACAAATCATCAAATATTGTCGCTCGCGGGCGATTGGTCTAAACACGTCACGTGACTGAATATTCCCCAGCTAAAACTGGAGAATATCCGAGTTTTATAATCCATCAGATATTTTCGCTTGCGCGCGATTGGTTTAAACCCGTCGCGCGACCGAATATTCCCCAGCTGCAACCGGGGAAAATCCGAGATTTGTATAATTTCCAGAGGTGATAATAATTAAATATCCCCCAATTTTCAAAATCGCGCGCGTTACGAAAAAGATTTAATTTGAAGGATAATAAACACCATAGCCTCCATTTGGGTAGAAAATATGCTAGGATATTTGTCATTGGACATTATCTGTTCCTGGAAGCTCACAGTTTTCCTCGAGCCACGCTCTCGGAAAACTGTTCGCTTCTCGGAACAGATAATGTCCACGGACAAATATCCGATCATATTTTCGCGCCAAATGGAGGCTATTGTTTATACAGGCCTTACTCCTGAGGCAATCTTAAGACATGGTATCCAGCCCTTCCACGGTGAACGTTACCACTTAAGATAGGTAAAGGTTTGCGTGAAATATGAAAAGCGTGTAGAGCCGTTTGCGATGAAACCAACAAAAACAACAAAAACTAAACAAAAGGACGAAAGCGGAAATAAGAGAGTGGAGGAAAAAAAGAGACTGACATTCCTTTGAATTTTTATATCGTCTTCCTTGGAGAAGACAGCGAGCAAGACTTTCTTTAACCCTAAGTTTTCATGAATATATACATATAAATAATTTATTTCTTTACATTCCTGCAAGGTATCCAACACCAAGGAAGCAATGGGATATATGCGGGTCAGCCTGCGGGGCAGCAGTTGCACAAAGGTCACTTGTTCGCAGCTCTGACTTCCTCGGGGCTCCCGCAGATCGCCCCGAACGCCCAGAACGCCGCGAACAGCGCTCGTTCCACTTATCAATACACAAATGCCGTGCCACAGTGTGCAGCTTTCAACACCGGTCAGTGGAGAGTTTGGGAAGGGAGCATTCGAACGTACGCAGTGAATATATGCATACCGGCGCAGGGTACCTTGTACCTTATAACAGGCGTTTCATTCGTTGGTATCACAAACGCTAACCCTCCACAGGCAGTTCAAGTTCCGATTACCACATTGCCACCAGCGCCACCGAATAATCCGGCCGCCATAGACAAACCAAATTCAATGTGGACCGCCGCCATTTGTGTACCCGCCCAAGGTGGCCAGCCATACAGCTTTGCAGTGATTGGGAACAACGTTCAGATTCCAGCTAATATGTTTACACAGCAAATTACCGTAGCACAGCTAGAGGTTATTCTTCAGGCTGACATTGTAATCAATGGCGTCAAACGGAACATGGGGGGAAAGGTCAAACTGTTTCCAGGAATTACCAACTCTCGGAATTATAATAATGAACTTCCCGAAGACAAGTATCCCGAGCCCGTGGAAAACGAATAAACTTGGATGCGGTACAAAAATGTCATAACATGGAAATGACCAAAAAATATATGGAATAACGATAATTAAGAAACTAATATGTGTAAACGGTAAAGTAAATTCAAAAAAATAAACTTCAAATTGGCAAACTCAGAACGTCGTTTTTTGTAATAAACTGCTTAGCGTATTTTACCAGTCATGTAGTTCGACACTTCAACATCCCCTCGGGTAACGCCCCGGCAACCACCCCTCTGGCATATGGCATTTTGAATTTTTGTTTCACCTAATTCCAGGGTCTAAACCAGTAGTCAATTTCTTACCCGATGTTGTGAGGAATTTGAGGTGATAAAAGCCCCTAGCCACAAGATATACATGTACAAGACACCGTCAGAAATTGGTAATGGCAAAGAGATGAGACAGTTTATATATCACTCTAATAGAATTATGGAAAATGGCTTTGGAATACATAAATTGCGTTTTCACTAGGCCGATTAACTACCTGAACATTCTTTCTGGGTGTTTGGTTACAGACCAACATTCGCTAGTTAAACGTGACGTCTGTTTGCACTAAACATTTAACCCAGAATTTGACCCGCTGACTCGGAAGATTCAAATTACAGAAGTGCGCAACTTGCAAAAATGGCTGAGAGAGGAAGCGCTTTTAATGACTTCTCTTGTATTGATTCTAGCGATATTAATGCGAAGGAGATCGAGAAGGCATTTTATCCAGAGGACGCGGTTAATGTCCCCAGAAATGAGGAAGATGCGACGAAATGTTGTAATGCAGGAGCTCGTTCTGCACGGCGACGTCGTGTCATAGGTAAGGTCCTGGCCGAGGAACTGGAGGATCGGCTAACGGGACCGTAGAAATCATTCCTACGGTCCCGTAAGATTCTCCAGTTCCTCGGCCGGGACCTTACCTATGACACGGTACCAGTGATAAACCGAAATAAATGAGAAGGACTGTTGAACTCGTCTGTCGTTTTAAAAGTTCTGCTTCGCACACTGAACCGTGATACGAGCGTCTGGTAAATACTGTTGCCAGATTCTTTGGCAAACGTCTGTGACTACGCACAATGTGATTGGCTGCGGCATTTACCAGGACAAGTTATACCATCTCG